GCTTTTATCTTGATTATCTTAAACTAAATTCCAATCTAAATTATATGGTGACTGAGAAAATATTGAGACTTCTCCCATTCTAGTGCTGCAAAGTAGATTTTGATAAATACTACTTCCTGAGCTTTAGTGCTAGTTTTGAAATCTTTTACTCCTTGGCGTATAACTTTTGAAAGTTTTGAAACCTCTTCATTATTTTTGAGAGATAGATACAGTTTACAAAACCATAATAGAATAATTCTTTTATTAATTTCAGGTTTGCACCCTACATAAAATTAATTTTGGGATAAATCACTTCATGGATAGGATGACAATTCTTGGTGAACCTCATTGAGTATGCCATTTTACTAACTTTGCAGTATTCCTATAGATATTCTTCACTCATTGTTATTTGTGACAAGGTGTCTAATATTGTAACTTTCTTCTCTTTCTTTCCTAAGTAATCAAGTCAAAAGTTATGGTTTTTGGTATTTTGAATAGCTAGCTTTTCAGCTTGAGATGTTGATATTTCTAGGAGAGAGTATTGGACATAATAGTTAAATTTCTTGAAACTTTCTCTAAGTAACCTTATTGAAGTATCACCTTATTCAATTTTCTTTTTTTTTTGCTCTTGTTGGGAGCTTTTCTTTGCCATCTAGCTAGATTCTCTAGAGTTGATTCCAATAATAGTGATTACTCTGGAATTCATTAATTTTTCTATCAACTCTTTGACTTCTTCAAGAGCATCTTATCCCTTATTCAATAACTCATGACCTTTAATAATTTTTTATTGGCCTTCATCCATGAGGCTATGGCCTTCATTAATTATTTCTTGGCCTTCAATCATTTTCTCTTGGCCTTCTCTTATTTGGCTATTGCCTTCAATGAGTTTCTTTTAACCTTCAAGAATAAGGTCTTTTCCTATACTTTGGAGTTTTAGGATCTCATTCATTAGCTCTTTCTTTGCTCAAGAAATTCACAAGACAATTATTAGTTCCTTTGTCATGTTTAGTTTCAAAATCAAACTCAACAAAGAATGTTTGCTATCTATTTAATCTTTTATATTCTAGTGTTAAAAATGATTTATTAAAAATAAATCCTTTAATTTGAGTACTATCAGTTCTAATTTTAAAATGTGTTGGTAATAAAAAGAAATCGAACTTTTTTATTTCATTTTTAATGGCTAATAATTCCTTTTGATTAGAATGATATCTAGTTTTTACATCTTTAAATGTACCACTAGCATATCTATAAACTCTCATGAGAATTTTCAAAGCTCTCCCCAATAAAAATAAAAATCTGAGGCATCACATTTTAAAATTAACTTTTCATTATCTTTAAGCAACTGTAACCTAGGAAGGTTTTTATAATATTCTTTGATTTTTTTTCACATGATTATCATGATAAATATCTCATTGTTGATTTTCTTTCTTCTTGACCAATTTTTGCAAAGGATGTCTTAGTTGGGCTATGTTTTGAATAAATTGCTTTGCATAGTCAAGTATTCTTAAAAATTTTTGAATTTGTTTCCTAGATTCCACTTTATTTGGGAAAAATGAAATTTTCTTACTAATGTGAGGTTGAAATTCTATCACTGTGGAATTTATTGTTAAAACGAGGAATTTGATTTTGGCTTTTCCTATTTTTGCTTTCTTTTCAAAAAGTAATATTTTAGGTTTCTTATATAAGTATGCAAATTTATTAAGATGATATAAATCTCCTTCCTCATTATCAAAGAAGATTAATATATCATCTATATATACCATGCAAAATGTTATGATGGATGAAAATACATTATCCATTTTTCTTTGAAATATATGAGGTGCATTTTCAATCTAGAAAGTGTTACCAATCATTCATAGTGTCATGTAGAAGCATTAAAAGCTGTTAATGGAACACTTTCCGGAGTTAACTTAATCTACCAAAATCCTAATTTGCAATCAAATTTTGAATATATTTTCTTTCCTTTAATGCTATTGATTAGAGTTTCCTTATGCAGTAAAAAATAACCGTCGAATTTAATTTTACTATTAAGTTGTTTGTAGTTAACAACCATTCTAGTTTTTTCTCTTTTTATTTTACTATAATTTCTCACCATAAAGGTAGGGCTACTATGAGGACTCTTGGAGGCTTGTATAATCTTCTAGTTTATGAATTTTTGAATTTACTTTTCAAATTCTTCTCTATCTTTAGGACTATATCTCATTAGTTTGACTCTAATGATAGTTTTTGGATCTATCAATTCAATAGTGGCATAAGTTTTGTCAAATTCCCATAGTTTTGTATGGTCTTTTCCAAAGTTGCTTCTTAATTCTTTTGAAATAAAATTTAGGATTGCTTTTTCGTAAGTATTTTCATTATTCCACAATGTTAACACTATTTTCTAATCTCTTTTGAGTGAGTTTTTCTATTATTCTAACCATGTTAGCTGTGAAAAATTAATGGTTCCATTAGTCTGATATAAGCATTATAAATTCTAAAGGTGCAAAGCCAATGTTTACAAGGTGTGCAAAATTTCAAATAAGATGTAGTTTGAATATACTGCTTGAATTAGCTTATGAAATTGTTTCCTAATAGAATGTCATTTCCATGTTCATTATTTTCATAGACTCAGGGAATTATAACTTCAGTCCAATCGATTACGACAATAACTCTTTCTATTATTGTTTAATATTAAATAATACTTCCATCTATGGCCACACCTTTCATTGTTTAAGAGATTTTCTTCCAATAATAATTTGGGAATACATTGGTTTTGGCCGAATATATCCCAGATCCTATATCAATAAAAGCATGAAATTCTTTGTACTTGATTCCAATGGATATGTATACACCATAAATACTAGTTTTCATAGTATCTTGGTATAACCACTTCTTTTCCACTTAAGGTATTCTTCAAACAATGTTCTTAGATATTATAAGGTTGTACTAATGTTAAGAATGTGTTTCCTAGTATCAATTTTATACTTGTAGTCATTTTTGTTTCAACATGGGTTGTTATAGTGATTTCATATTGTATCTTATTCTTATCTTCTATTCCAAGATGTACTTTAGCATATTCATGTATTATGGTCATTGCACCATTAAAGTTGTAATATGTGTATGGATTAGTGAGTTCAGACCTTTATATGTGTGGGATCATATCGCTATGGATATGCGTTACTCATGCTTCTGTATCTATTAGGATAGAAATATTATGCCATTCCTTTCCATCATAATAATCTCCTTTTATTTTGAAATGTCTAGAGAGACTCATTAAGGTATCGAACACCACCTTGTGTTTTATACCGATCGTCTTGGTTGAGACGTCTTTACCTTTCTTAGGATAGTTCAAAGCTCTTAAGTTTATACTATTTCTATAGCTTGGTTCAGGTTTTGTTCTAACTAATAGTCTTGTTGACCCATATGTCATTAGTCTAGGTTTTTCTCTTTCTCCTATTAGGAGTGGCTTTTCACTAATGTCCATTTCCATTCTTTGGGTAGTTCTATTTCAGTGATCATTTCTGGCTTTTGAATTTGTCATATTTCAGTGAACATAGGATCTAATTCAATATATTCTTTCTCTTTGAAAAGATTAGATTGATGATTATTGGCCTATGCATAACTTATCATATAGTAAATACTATATGACATTGATCCATCTTTCATAAAATTTTCTCTAGCAAATTCATGTGCTCATTAATATTTACAGCATACTTTGGATATATTGTGAACATGAACTTTTGGTAGCTAAGGTTACCTTGTACTAATCCTAAGATAGCATCCTTTCTATTGTTATTTCTATTATCTATTATTAAAGCTAGCTGTATTAAGGTGTTTATACCTTCTCTAAAATTAGCTTTCATAAGGATTTGAATTCTTCTTATATGGATAAATCCTATCCTTGATCTATCAAATCTTTTGATTTTTGACAATTTACTTTTTATTTTTGCCTTGATGAGCAGATATATATTTATTATTCTTGTTGTATTCTTGAAGGGAATGCTATAGTCTTTAGTGGATATTCTGTAATAAACTATATCTCTTTTCTTAAAAGATTATTTAGAAAGGAATTTGACTTGAATTCTTTTTCTAATGCAAGGTCCATTCCTTTTTGTTTAATTCTTTTATACTTATTTTTATCAAATACTATTACTTGGTTGTATTCTCCATATCCTTCATATTCTTTCAAATAAGCTTCTCCTTCCTCAATTTTCGGATTCATCATTGTTGGAAGTATGAAGTATCTAAACTTTCCACTTCATATATACTTTCATTGCTATTTATAGAGCTCATCTTTATTTTGCTTAACTCTTCTTCCTAAATTTTTAAATTTTTAGTACTTTCTCTTTTGTATCTTTTAAGACATTCATTTGCATAGCGTCCTTCTTCTTTACATAACTAGCATGTGCATTTCTTAGATTTCTTTTTATATTTTGTTGGTCTTTTATTTTCTTAATTCACCTATTTTTCTGTCTGGAAATTTATTCCTATGAAACCTTTGTTTATTACTTCTTTTAATTTTAAATCTTTTGTTTCTCTTCTTGTAATTTGAATAACTACATCCTACCTTGATTGGATCACTGTTTTTAGGATAACATAACTCCTTTTTCATACACGTTCTTAATTTGTTATAGCTGTAGGTTTCTATACACCACTCATTTATTTTGGTTTTAGTGAACCAAATTCTTAGTCCTAACTTATGGGTTTTATCTTCTACATAGTTTCTATAAGCTTTTGCTAGCTTTATTCCCTAAGAATTAGGGATTTTTTTGAAAAATAATTCTCTTAGACTTTTAGTCATTCTATGATTTGAGACTATGTAATAATATTTCTAGAATAAAAAAATGTATTGGTTTTGTAATATCCCAAAATTTCGGGAATATTTAAGTCTAAGTTAAGGACTTGATTGTGAGAAAAGATTGTTTTGGGGCCTAATATGAATATTTCAAAAGTTGAGGGACTTAAAAAGAAAGAAAATTAGGATAAGGATGGCTGGGTTGTTCTTTCTTTTTCTTCTTCCTTATCCGCGTGATCTACTCTTCTTCTTCTTCCCGAAAGCCCCAAGCCCCCCGACAGCCTCCTCTTGAAAAACCCGTGAGAAGCTTGTGTTTTTCCCCTTGTTTTCTTGTCCAAAAACCAGATTTGGGGCTTAGAATCTTCCCTCTCAACCCAGAAAATCCCGGTTCTGCTCTGCTCTTCTCCCCTGTCCGCCGGCTGCTAGTGGGTATGGGTGATTTCTGGGCATTTTTCGGTAAGAACAACCCCTAATTTCCTTTGTTCTTGCTTGAATTGCCCTGGGTTTACTTTAATTGCTCTTGTTCCTCCAATTTTTGGGTAAACCCGTGAGTTCCCTGCAGGATATCTTCTTCCATGCCGCCGGCTCTTCCCCAACCTGCAGTCCGGTTTTTGCTTGCAAATTCTGGTATGTGACAGCCTTTTAAGGCTTAAATTATCCATTTAAAGTTGCTGCTTGTGATGTCCGAATTTGGCTAGGAAATGGGGAAATTCCGGTAGCAATTAAGAGGGATTTAAGTGTGTTTTGTTGCTTAATTCAAGTGAGATTTATGTGATTGAGTGTTAATTTCTTGTTGTGATTTTTGGAGAGAAAACCCCGTGAGATTATCTAGTGTTTTGGCCAATTTTGGAAGTGCAGTTACTGTTCACGTCGGGGTACTGTTCACGGGTACTGTTCACACCCCGAGGGCTAACAATTAACGGGGATTTAAATGATTAGTTTGTGATATAAGAACGAATTTGGAGATATTTGATCATGTGGAGATTGATAGGAATAGCATCGGGATTAAGAGTGATCTTGATGAGTTTACCTTGAATTTGTGATAGTGGTATTAATTCTTGAAATATCTTGATTAGGTTCTTGATCGTCCTGTCAGTTTAGTACGTGAATTGAGTGCTCGGTTTTATGCAAGTGAGGTAAGTAAATTTATGGTAATGCCCGTACTGTTTTAAAAGCATGTTTTGATTTGTTTTTGAAGTGGTGGCGGGACTAAACCTGTTTTACACAAGTATGACTGATTTGAAGTGAAATGTTTTGTGTTTTTCATGAAATTGAGCATGCCTACTTGAAATTTAAGTGATTGTCCTGATGATCTGAAAGTGATTGTGAATTGTGATTTTCCTGTTAACTTCTGCCTGTTTTGTCTCCGATGTGGTCATGTTATTTGTGACCCTGCTAGTGGGGGAGGTTATAAACGCTAGCACATGTTGACATGTAGTGAAAGAGCCGGTTCGTTCAACCCAGCTAGTGGGGGTTATACACCAGCAAATCGTGGCCCTGCTAGTGGGGATTATACACTGGCCGTGACCTATAGAGGAGACGTCTATTTCGTTCCCGTACTTGTATCCATTTTTCGTGATTGTACTTGTTGGCATGCTTTAAGTTTGATAAGGGGCACTCCATATTTACTTACTGAGTTTATCTCATAGTTTTCCTTGTCCACCATTTCAGGAAGTGAAACCGAGGACAGGGAAACCACGGGAAGTGACGAGTTAGAAGGCTAGCCATATGGTAATTGGATATGAATTTTAGAAACAAATCATGATCTTGTATTTAGAGATTTTATTGGAGACTTATGATATCAGAGTTTATAAAATTGATCTTAGATTTTGGTGGTATCAGGGTGTGATATGATAAGTTCCAAGCCTTGTGCACTTGTGGGACCCGTCTCACGAGTGTATGGCGTCTGCCGCGCCTCGAATTTGGGTTTTGGGGCGTGACAGGTTTAGTTTGTAGAGATTACATAATTCTAAATTCTGCATATTCCATATTACTA